GGGAGAGAGAGAGAGAGAGAGAGCCCATCACAGAATCAAAGTGCACTGAAACCTGCATAGTCAGGTGCCCAATGGATTTTATGGAGTTTCTTACTCTTCTCCCCTCATTTTGATACAGAGGCTTCTCCTGGGGAGCAATGTTTTTGTTTGCTTGTTTTTTATTTACCACCCTGCTGGAAAATTGTGGAAGTGTTTTTTCTTCAAGTAGGTAGGTCTTGCAATGTGCCTGCAGAATAGTCAGACTGATTAATCTGATTCCACAGCCAAATCCTCTGAACCCAGAATGTTTTTGTCACTGCACTGATCTACCAGGATGGAATAGCCACAGCATCAAAGAAACCAGTTGCCTGAGGATTTCCTCAGATAAAAAGGAATCCCTAATAGCACAGGATTGGCACATTTGGGTTCTTACATGTACCACCCCCAACCTTTAGAACATGTGGCATGACTGGGATAAATAACCAGACCGCTTTTTAACTCTGCTGATCCCCAGCTGCCAGAATGACTTGTGGAATTGTGTGTCAGGACCTGGGGCTAGTGCCTGCCAGCCAAGGATTAGGGAACTGCAAGGTATCTTAAAAAGAAATATTGCTTTGGCTCTCCTAGCCTGCTTCAAGCACACATTGGCCATTCTAAACCATGCATTATTGGAAGTGTGGTACCTCACAAAGCCACAATGTGACAAGCAGTTTAACCATGAGTACACTGAGGATTGTTATAGTATCATATTTTATTTAAATCCAAAGCAAGGTATCTTTCTCCTTCATTCACCAGTACTGAGGAGGAGTGCAGGGTAGATCATGCAGTGCTGGGGGGGGAGCATGGAGGAGATTTCTCCAGTACTGTGTAAAACATGGGAGATTGTGCAGTGCTGGGGAGTGCATGGAAGAATTTGTGTGGTAAAGTGGGGAAGCCTGGGGGAATCGCAATGTAGGGTGAGGGAAGTACAGGGCAGATTGTGGAATGCTGGCAGAGTACACATGGGAGATCTTGCTGTGTGGAGTGGGTAGTGTGCAGAGGACACCGCATACTCCCCATCCTGCACCAGAGGTAATGCCACAGTAGGGGAGCTACTATGGCTCTGGCCCTGACCCAGGGCCAGAAAAGCAGCCAGGCCTGGAGCTGCCATTTCTACTGCTGCTGGCCTGGGCCAATGGCACTGTGCTTTGAGCCCCAGGCCTGAGCTAGAGCTGCCGCATCAGGTAAGTGGAAGAGGGAGCAGGCACAAGGGTGAAATCAAGTGGCTGTGGAGGACAGGCATTGGGTGGGAAGGTAAGTGGCAAGGAGGACATGTGCCAAAAGATGCAGTTTTCTGGGAGAAGCTAGTAGCACAGGAGTTGCTTTCCCAGCTTCTTACCTTCCTACTACTGCTTTCCCTGCCACAAATTTAAGACAATCCTGTAATAATTGGATTCTATACATGGAAAATGTTAACACATTTATAACTTTCCATATATAGATCTAATTATTAAGACTTCATCTTAATTTTGAAGTCATCTTGGATTCAGGTAAATATAGTATATGCCTATACATTTTATGTATTTTTGTAATTTTCAGCACTAATTTTGGTTAAGTTCTTGAGTACAAACATTCTAAGAGCTGCTTGGAAAGTGAGAAATGAGCTTGATTCTCATAAGGCTGTGAAGGGGCTAGAATATAAACTTCAAATTGCACACTTGGTGGGTCAAATGATTTAACCAAATGGCTAATGGGCGAAAGGTGGGTAGAACCATCATCAACTATTACAACCCCATTCTAGAGAGGATAAGAGGTGCTGTGCTTAATGCTGTTTTTAGGTAGATGTCGTGTTTCAGATATGTCCCACCCATTTAGATGCTCTGGTATTGAGTGACAGAGGTGCCTATTTCTGTACACCTGAGACAAGCAAACTCCACAGGGGAGCAGGACTTTAGATATACCTTGGGCCTAGCATTTCCCATTGGCTCACTGTGGGCACCTTTTTTGCACCTTTGGGAGGAGCCTAGATCTCCCCACTCACTTGTAGGGATCCTAGGTGCCTGATTCTGTTGTGCTGAAGGACCCTTCTGGGGCAAGCTGCCCATATTTTAGGTACTGTGATGCCTAAGGCAGGCACAAATTTTGATTTGGATCTCACTCTGAGTCCTTTGGCCCCATTTTGGCAAACAGCCTACCTAAAGCAAACAACTAAATTTTACATATGTGAGGTAGATGAAGAGTGCACAACATATAGTCCACTAGGGTAATCCCAGTGGTCCACTACAATTCTACTAAACTGCTTTCCTTTAAATGGAAAAGGACTTCAAAAGCAAATTGGGAAGTATTGTGTCCTCACTGGTCATTTATTAATTTCCACCTGCACTAGTGGAATAATGGACTATCATGTAACAAAATACAAATGTCCTATTAGAAATAAACAGCTTAGAACAACTGCACTCAGATGTTTAAGCATTTGCCAATGTTACATAAGACTGAACATAACTCAAGTAACTGACCAGTTTATTGCTTTCTGGGCATACCTGATACTCTGAATCCATCTTGTGCTGTATTTCCCTTGCATACTGAGCATCACTGATGAGCTTCTGTCTTTCTCTCTCTTTATACATTACAGTAAGTTAATCAGAACCTGCATAAAAAACATGTTTTTTTTCTTAAAGATAAAAATCATCTTATTTCTTCAGTTTTATTATGATCTGCCTGCCTCTTTCAACATATGTTAATTGCTAGCAGTTGGGGAGCAAAGATGGTCCTGCCTAAAAAGTCCTGCCTTAGTGCTGATACCTGTACAGCCTTCATTAACTAATTAAAAACCATGCAATTACAAAGTAACCAAATACTAAATGAATTTGCTATGGTCATTACCAAGAAATCGGAAGCAATGAGATCTAGTAGTTTAGAAGATGGAAACTAGGAATCTGATCAAAGTAAATTTTCATTAGTGTCGAGTACTGGATTAATCCAATATGTACTAAAGGCAGGAAACTTGTCTATTCTGAGCAACTGCTATTGACTGAGTATCTGTCAAATTTTTAATGACCTATATTAGAGCTTGTTCCTGCAATGCACTAGGTGCTTCCTGATGGCGCACACATCCTTGATTGTCAGTGAGCTCAGTATTATTCAAGAGGTTCTTGGCACCTTGTATAGTTGGGCCATAGTATCTTACTGTTGTTTGAAATATCTGATCTAAGATCAGATCTATCACTAAAGGCAACTACTTTCAGTGACTCCATTATCCTATCTGCCAGTGCAAGTCAGGATGACAGTCTCAGGAGCTAGTGGGTACAATTCTAAAACAAGTAAAAGCGGGGTGAAGTGGCTGCAGAAGCAAGGCCTGCCTGGCTCTGTCTAGCAGAGGGTTCTGGCTCAAGACTGGGGCTGTTCATGCCTCCCTGCACTGCGAGGAAATTCAGATAAAAGGTGGGGGGGAGGCAGGGGAGGACCATGGACAATTGTCCCAGTCCTCAGGGTAATGCTGAGCCAGCTGCTGCAGTCCCAGTGCTGCAGCCAGGAACCATGTGGTGCTGGAGTGGCCAACACGGGGTTAGAGAGGAGCTGCAGCAGCCACAGGCAGGGAAGGGGTGAAAGCAGTAGCAGGTGGATGGGAAGGGGCAGCAAGCAGGTGTACAGAGCACAGCAACAGCTGGGTGGCAACATGGGGTTCATGCTAGTGTGCCAGAGCTAGGGCCAGCACGGGCCTAGAGTGGGGCAGCTGGAGCATGGGGCCTGGGCTAGCAGGGGCTCTGAAGCTAGGCCAGCTCCCCCTCTCCCTGCTGGCGCAGCCTGGCATGGCTCCATAGAGCCCCTGCTGGCCCCATTCTGTGCTCCTGACACCCCACTCTGGGCCCTGCCAGCGCTGGCCCCAGTGCACCGACATGTTGCTGTGCTCTGTACACCTGTTCACCCCCACTTGCCCTAACCTGCTGTAACCATTTGCCCACTGCTGCCACCACTCCCCTCCAGCCCCACCTGCCACTCTGGCACCACATGCTTCCCAGCTACAGCACTGGGCCACAGAATGCAACAGGAGCTGCCCTGGCCTCTGTGATTCTTGGCTGGCTCCATGTGGTGCTAGCTGGCTGGTCTGGCTCCTGCTGCATCCTGCAGTCTTGGCCATGCTGCATCCTGCAGTCTTGGCCATGCAGCTGGGATGTGGTGCTGGAGCAGTGACTGGGGGGGATGGGGAAGCTGCAGAAGGGCAGTGGTGGCAGATGGAGGGGGAAATGGCTGCAAGTGGGAGCAAGGGACTGTACCGGTGCCCCAGGTCCAGGAGCGGCAGGAGCATAAGCCTGGGCTTGGAGAAGTGCTGGGGAGTGGGGATGGCTCTGCCTGCTGAAGGGAGGCTGTGAGCAAATCCTCCCCCTCCACACATTCACAGCCCCCCACAAGCCTCATACCCACCCACACCACATACCCTCACCCCCATACCTATCCACACACAACCCCCCCCCACACACACCTCTCTACAATATACAAGAATAAGACTTCATTTTAAGTTATTATGCAATCACCTCTGTACACCATACATGCATATAAATCAGGACAAAACATTTTTTTTAAATGAAATTAATGAATGTTGAAGTAGATTTTTTTATTTTTAGAATGAAACTTGGTATTTTCCTGGTTCCAAGATGGCAAACTCTTGTTGAAAGGAGTACCTGGGGGTGCAAGGGGAGGGAGTTCTGGTGGCAAAGGTCAGGGGTTAGGAGGTGGGACTTCCAGTCCCAAGATGGCAAACAGGGGGTGGGGCACCTGTCAAGGGGTGGGGCTACCCCTGTGGCCCTCAATGGCTTGCCAAAACTTGGTAAGCAGCCCTCCACCCAAGATAATTGCCTGCCCCTGACCTAGAGGGAACATCTGGTACTGGGTACAGCTCAACATGAAGAAGCTTTGATCCAGAGGATGGAAGCAAAGCAAGAAAGAAGAAAGCAGCATGCTGTAAACTGTGACTCCAACTCAGACTACATAGGGATCTGCAAAACTTGTAACAAGCTGTGATGCTCTCAAATTGGGCTTGTCAGGCACAAACGGATTCATTAGGCATCTAACTAGACCTCTTATATGTACATCATAATCCAGGTTGCTCACCATATATAGTGTGAGCAAGAAAAAGATATTTACCTTATTGTTAAAACTGTTTGGTTTTTTTTTTTTTTTTTTTTTTTAATGCCTCACTTGCAACCTTAGCATTTCATAAACATAGGAGGGGAAGAGATAAGGACAGGTCTTGGCCTTCCCTTCTCCTACTCAAGGCTAAGGAACAGCTAAGTGTACAGGGGAGAGCAGGCTGTGCCTTCTAACAGGCTGCTTGGAGAGAGTCTCCAAGATATAGTCATTTTGGATCTTCCCCTTTGGTAGGTTAGCTCTACCTCTAGAGGCCACGTTCCAGTTTTATTGGCACAATCCTGCTTTTTAATATGACTTATTTTAGGATCCCTAAATTTCCTGGTTTTCACTTGAAACCACTGGTTTTGTTTATAATTTTTTCATGCACAGAGGACTCTGCAATATTAAAAGGACTCTATCTGGACTGGAGTTTCCTGGAAGCTTACTGGTGTCACTGTCAAGATTGTCCTTCCTATAAATCCTACTTCAGACTGCAGGTTCCTTGAAGGTTGTTACAGTAAGCATAGAGACCCTTTATTAAAAAACTACTGCTATATGAATGAGAAATTATTTCTGTAGTTCTCTTTTACCTTAATTGGGTACTGAACATGCTTTATGCCGACCATTATTCAAGACCGAAGCCTATTATAACAGGTCAGATGACAACACTATAATACGAACACAAAGGTGACTCATCCTTATTAGAACAAAACCCCTGCTCTGGCCCTTCTAAGAAGGTTGGTTAGAAACAGATGGGTACCTTTGGTCCTTCAGTACCCTCATTTCTCTCTTCACCTGAAACAGAAATCCTCTGGCAACTCTGTATGGTTATAAAGCACAGTTTCAGATAGTCATATCATCTGTAAGCAACTGCAGCATTGCGTCTGCAGAAATTCCTGATTTCATATTAATTTGGAGATCCTAAAAATTGATGTTCCTATTTTAAAAATATAATAATCTTAGCTCTACTCTACCTCACTGCTACTTAGGCTACCTTAAAGACGTGCTAATCTCTTCCTAACCTGCTAGGGTCTAACAAGGTCTACTGGAGCTCTTCTCCCAGCTCTGCCTTTCACATTTCTGCTCATTCTTTTAAAAAATAAATTGGTCGGCCAGGAAGTATGAAAAACATAATCCAAAGGAAAACGTTTCTGAAAATATCACTGAAATAGGAGTCTACTGAATCTAAACTACAGCAGTTGTTGTCACTTCTGCTAAGGAAGTCTTAATGTCTATTTTATAATAATCATAGAGGAGAAAATAGGTTTAGTTTAGAATTAAAACAAGATAAAAAATCATGTCTGCTGGTTCTGGAAAAATCATTTTAAAGGGAAGAGAACAATCTTATTACAGTAGCACCTAAAGACCCAACCTGAAACTGGAACTTCATTGCACTAAATAGACAGGACAAACAGTAAGAGAGAAACAGATTCATGAAGTGGAAAAGTAATTTGCCCAAAGTCACGCACAGGAGATCAGTGGCAGAACCAGGGAAAGACCCTGGTCTCCTGCTTCCCACTCTAATGCAGAGCACCTTCATCTAATACCTCATTTGAGGAGGGTTATTTTTTTCATGTGATCTGCCACTTTAAAAGTGTTCTGCAGTTGTGCATGTGTCATGGCATGACTGTAGAGTGCTTTTAGGGGCCCAATCATGTGAAAAATGTAACTTGTGTAAGTGCCCTAAGAGTCAGGTGGCAACCTCCATTAACACCTGCCTTGCTGCCAAACCTATTTAGCATCTGTTACGAAAAGAGAAAATAACGTTTTTCTTAGCTAGGTTGAACTAAGGATATGGATAATAGTCAATAATTTGATATCTGAAAATGTCAGAGGCATGAAAAGGATAATAGACCTAGATTTAGTTAATGAAAACTAAAGCTACCTCTTTTCTGAAAAGAGGTGACAGATATCATCAGATTAAAAAGGGTGAACAATAAATGTTTAGTCTAGATAATAAATTACATACCTACAAATCTTGCTCTGTGAAGGGTATAATTTACTTTTGTCTACATTTTGGGTCATTGATCACATGCAATGAACACAGGGCACCTGTGAGAACATCTTAGTACAATCCATGCAAGCTTCACTCTCAAAATTCCTGTGATGTCATAATAACCTAATAATGTACACGTACATTTTATTTCACTCATTTGTCAATAAACTATAATATAGCCTATGCAAAATACAGGTGAATATATATTGGTTTAGGTACCAGAAGACAGGCAAAGAACACTATTGCAATGTATGGTACCCATGAGTGAATCTGGAATTTCGAAAAGGGGCTGCAGATGGTTTGATGTATCATCGTATGTAATGCACCACATTTTTTTCAGGTAAAAATAAACTAGAAGCATTAATAGTATGCTAAGGGCCTAGGGCTACATTATTCAGTTTAAGATTAAAGGAAAAATAAATGTAACTTTATTGGAATCTGTATTAATTTGATATATATATCTCTAGAAGTGATCAATCAGCTTGTTTCCATTATTTCTTGTCTTCCCCTGGGGGGCCTTGGTG